GTATAATGCATTTGTGAGACCACACCTTGAATATGCCTCTTGTGTATGGAATTCACAGTATAATACATACATTGATGCTATTGACGGAGTAGCTGGTTTGTTTCATAGGCCCACAGAGATCTGAGTGTAGTATTTGTAGCACTATTTAGTTCGAGCAAATTATTTAGTTCGAGAAGTATTTTGGGACAGAAAAGATAGTAGACTGACCATTATAAGGTATTTGGTAGGCAAGTTTATGTTCACATTCCGAAAGAATTAAGAACTAAGTAGAATGCTAAAGGCAAAAAATGTCTGTTTATGGGCTTGCAGATAGCAATAATCCGCGTAGAATAGTGTTTGCACAGAATGTATATTTTCTAGAAATGCCATGCCAGGTTTCGAAGCAAACAGAGGGAACAAACTCCCAAATGTTAATAAATTAGACTATTGAAAGTCTCACGCCATTTTGCAATGAGAAGTCGACTTCTGTTACTAGGGCTATCGAAACTCCCATCAATTTAAATATCAGTGGTCAAACTACTAATAGTCTTTCATCACCAAATTTTGTTGTTGGATCTGGAGATCAAGTAGCAGGAACATAATCGCAGGAGAGGGCCAGTACCCCAATTGCTGTGGAAGTCGAAAAGAACTCTTGTCCAGTAGCAGATGATAATGGTAGTCCTGAGATTGATACAAATGATGAAGGAAACCGTGAACATATAGAATGTGCTGTAAATGAACAGAAACTCTCATAAGAATCTGAGGGACGGTATCCATTGAGGAATCGGAAACCGAACCGAGAACCTGATTTTCTCTATTATTTTGCAAATGTTCTGTAGCGTTCTACAGAACATTTGCAAAATAATAGTTAAAGATGCTCTATCTAGTAATGACGCTGTAGAATGGCGAAAGCCTATGTATAGGGAGTTGCAATCAATATACGCAAAAAAAATCAAGTTTGGGAATTGGTCGATAAACCAAAAATCGCAAGTCATCGGCTGCAAGTGGGTTTTCAAATACAAACCAAATGTCGATGGAAATATTTTGCATATGGCCAGGTTAGTCTGTTTACTGAGAAGGGCCATATAAGGTCTCAAGCAGGCACTCCGAAACTGGAGTAAAAAAACAAATGATGTTCTTCGTTCTTTAGGCTATAATATAAACGCAATCGTCATATTTCAGCCTTTGAAGGCTGAAATAAGCGATTTCAATTCGATTTGAAAGTGGCAAAACGACTACTTCGCTATTTAAGATATTCGAAGTAGAAAGAACTATCATTTCGAAAAACCGCTGAGTTTAATGTATCTGAATTTGTTGATGCAGATTGGGACAGGGACTTTACAGAGAAGTCTTTTAGTTTCTTATTCAAAATTTGTACTTCCGTTGTTTCATGGGAATGTCGTAAGCAAAGGTGTGTTTCTTTATCGACATCCGAAGCTGAATACGTCGCCTTATCGGAGGCTTGCAAAGAAGCTGTATTTTTGTCTCGTTTGATAATGTTCTTTTTCGAGATTTACGTGTAATTAACATAGGCACAGATAACCAGAACGCTATAAAGCTGGCTCAGAACCCAATTGCCTACCGTCGTACTAAACACATTGATATAAGAGTGCTTTTTGTAAGAGAATGTGTAGAAGTGGGTCTAGTCAAGCTAACACATATTGCCACTGATGATATGTTGGCTGACATACTGACAAAGCCATTAGGCAATCTAAAGTTTACCAAGTTTTTAGAATCTTTATTATGTAATTTGAGGAGTGGTGTTGATAAAACCTCTTTAGCATACAGCTAGTAGGTATTTCAATTTAAAAGAATGCCTAATTTCCTTACTTTTATTGTGTGTTTTGCTTGCTTACACAGTAAATTGACACTTGAATATTTTTACTCCTTTTAATCATTGAACGCACTTTAAGTACGTGTGACTTTAATGGTTGTTATACTTATTTAAGAAAATCTAATCATAGTTCCGAGGTAGCAAGTGACCTGATTTATTTGCGGTTGAGTGTATATAGTTGTCTTGTGGGGTTGAGGTTATGCCTGAGTCCTGGGGCAACCGGTCCCGGGACAAGAACAAACATTACAAATTATTTTCCCCCTCTGACAGATTTCTAATATTAAGTTATATGAAAAAACAAAATCGGGGCTGTGACTGAGAACTTCTGACGAAAAAGCTTCATTGGCGCGGCTAAAGAAAATATTTTCTATCATGCATGATTATTTAAGTTTTTTTACCTTGCAGAGCTATTATGTTAATAAGTTGGTCCATAGCGTGATCGTTTCAATTCATTTCGCTAAAAATTTTATTAATCTCTTTGTGCCCGATAAAGGCGGGATAAAGATATAATAGCGATAGCTAAACTATTACTACGTCTAATATGTACACAACATAATTATGAGAACGTCACTATCTGTGCCAAATGGAGAATGATTTGAATATTATGAGGACAAAATATTTTTTGGGGCCAATCTATCCGAAGTTTTAATAATCATCTCATCTTGAAAAGATTGATAAAAAGAAATATAACGCCTATTCTTGCTTAATTTATCTATAATACTATTATAAGTATGCTCTTAATGATCATTTTCTATCAACTAAAATAATACAAATAATAATTTATATTTTTCAGTTCTTGTCTATAAATTCAGACGTCGATGAAGATGTGTAGATTCGATAAATATTTTTATGACAGTCTTTTGCAAAAGTTCAACAGCTACGTTTGTTTACAATGATTTGAAGTTTTTTTGAAATTTTAACGTTAACTTTTTTTGCAGTCATTAAGTTGCTTCTATCAACCGGACGTGTTTAAATCTTTGTAACAACCGAACTATTACAACTTAATTTCGGTCAACCGGAATGACTACCAAAGTACAGCAACCACAGGATTTTAAATTCTGCTTAGCACTATTACAACATGTTCAATATTATTTAAAAACATTTGAATTTTACGACACCATATCGCGATACATGAGGTTAAAATTGGTTTTTATTAACGACAGGGCAACAGAGTTCGAATAAGCTATTTCAAGAAAAATATGTCTGAACCCTATATCAGTATCAATGTAGATTAAAAAAAAGGCATATTCTTTTGATATTTGCCAAGAGAATATAACTGGGTTATTATAGTTTCATTGGTATTGAAATAGATAAAAATAAAATCAAAAGAAACTGCAATGAATCCGGGTTACTCAAAAAATCGTAAACATCTAGCAAACTAAGAGAACGCTATCTTAATGAAATAAATTCTAATTGATAGACAATTTAATAGAAGTATTAAATTGTCTATCAATTGGAATTCAATTAATAATTTTATTTTAGTTTAAATATACTCATTTAAGGAGTTAAATGAAGATATTAAAACTTCTTAATTATTGTAACGTTATAGCCATAAAAAAATCAAATTCGAAAAAGGGAGACTTACGAAAATGGAACTACGAAATTAATGCATTTGTTTTTGCTTTTGTTTCTAATCTGTCATTTATCATTCATATAAACCATGTCGATAGTGTTCAATATTAATTATTCAAGCTGTCATCATGTCGCTTACACTGAAGAATGCACCAGAATTCTCACAATGCTGGAAACCGGTCGGACTCAGCGCGATACAGCCAGGACTGTCGGTATGTCGCTGTCAACAGTACGAAGAGCTCTCCGAGGAAACTGGTTCTAACCTACTTAGACCAGGAACAGGTAAAACCAGGTGTAACATACACGAGAAGATCGATACTTGGTGAACATCATGCTTCAAAATCGCTTTTTCACAGGAGCTGAAATTACAAATCAGTTTCGACGCCTCAGAGGAAGTAACCCAAGCGCATAGACAGTAAGACGACGACTTGCTGAAGCTAGCTTGAAACCACTTAGACCTGCAAAGGGCCCTAAACTGGAGCATGGGCATCGCATTTCAAGACTAAGATATGCCCAGAACCACTTAAATTGGACCATTCATGATTGGTCAAAAGTTATGTTCTCCGACGAATCGAACTTTGTGCTCTCACGATGGAAGACACGAGAGTATTGTATAGAAGACCTGGGGAAAGATTCAAGCAAGCATGCATCGAAAAAAGTAGCCTAAGGTTTTGAGGCTGTACTTGTGTGGGCCGGAATTTCTTCAGAGAGTCGCACAGAACTGGTGTTCATGGAAAACGGCTCTTTAACTAGCGAAAGATATGTGGAAGAAATCTTGAATGGAACACGTTGGTCCATTTATGGTCAATTTGGGTGAGATGCGTAAAACAACGAAACCCTCCCCCAATTACGCTTCGTGAGCTCAAAATTGCTCTCACAGAGGAATGGGAGAATATTCCCCAAAATCATATAAGAATCTTAGTGTACAGCATGCCAGGTAAACGCAGTAATAGGAGCACGAGGAGGCAATAGAAGTATTAAAATTCAAGAAAATCGTAGTGTTGTTCAAAAATGTCATGTTTCCTATTTTTGTTTCAAGATGAGATAAGGCAGATTTTTTTTTATGTATTTTTTTATAAATAAAATCCGGTGACTCATAAATTTTATTACCTTTCATTTAAGGAGTATTTAATTGTCTTTTAAACAAAATTTATTTAATTCAGCTAGCATTCTTAGTTTGCGAGATTTTTAGGATTCTTTATGTGACCCGGATTCATTGCTCCCGAGTGTAATTTTGTATTGCATTGTTACAATAAAATTTGTTTATATATAGATAGGTGCATAATGGTATCCAACCTGGCATGCTTTTCTTAACTAAATACAAAATTTAACATCAATATCTCCTTTTCATTTTGCATAGAGAATGACAAGGATACACTGTTGTCAAATTTGTAGTTTATGTTTACAGAATCATGTTAGAATCGACACCAATACCCATAGAAAATATATCATCTACATAACAAAATTCAAACTTAAGATTTTAGGGACATTCGTTATAAATAACGAGAATCCTAGTCTTTTGTAACAATATAGATTAATTGAAGACGGGAGGTAAAACTCTGACTATGGAGTTGCCTTTACAATATTGCCCTGCGTAGCTTAATTTAGACCTTACCGCCGGCGTGCGTTCTCCATAGCAGCCACCTAGGCAGCTGGTGGTCTCTCGGCGGCCGCATGCCGGGAAACCAGCTCCCTCGCCCACCTCCTGCTGCAACTGTTGTGTCACAGTTTTTGCCAATACTTTGCTAAAGTCCCAACACCAATAAATACCAATTCTATACACCCTAACCGGCGTCAATTCATCACAAACGAAGTCTTTCATACGTAAAGTTTTTAAAATTTTGGTGTCCAACTCTTTATGCCATGTTATGTTTTTGATGGTAATGGCTAGCGATATATGAGAAAAGAATGAAATTACGACTGATTAACACAGTCGATAAGGCATGCAGGAAGCATAAGCATTGCGGCTAACTAGTGCATTTTATTTTTCTTTTTATAAACTTAGTGACGTCACGCTGAAACCATCTATGGCTTTAATTGTATATGATGGCATCATATTCGGATAGTCATGCAGTACTATATTTCTGGTATTCGTCCTCCGATATGACTTTACGTAGGCTGGGACTTCATCTTATGTCACTAAGTACTCCAATCACATTGTTAGATATTACAGTTCAGTTCTATTCTATGATTTGTTTCTATAACAAAACATGCAGACCACACACTACAATTATAAAAAAGGGCGGGATTGCGATCATCGTGTTGGAATACCGACAGACTTAGGTATGCATGATATTGCTTCATAACAATTTGTTAAAATGTCAATATTTTCCAGGCGTAAATCAATTACAGTATAAAATGCAAATTGTCTGCGCTAAAGCAAAGAGTTAACCTGTCTGGCTATAGCAGTTTGCAATAAATGATAAAATTAAAGCACGTGTATTTTATAAGACAAAAAGAAGATTCGCGTGAAAGATAGAAAGTTTGTAAATACTATAACTAAATTGCAGACACGCCACAAGTGTTATTTTAATTATACTCAAATAGGTATGTAAATGTAAACACTTTACATTAATGAAAAAAGATGTGACGCTGACGCGGTATAAAGGTAAAAAAAATAAAGTTTAACCCGAAATACAGTCTATGGGCGGATTACTACATAGTAAATTGTGGATCAAGTATAAAAATGTTACATGTGTGTAATCGTTTAACAACGGTCAGAGATAGAAGGTAGTTAAAGGACTGTATTTAAGGAGTATTATTATCTGAGAGTAGGAGAGAACCGACTCACCGATGCACGCGAACGCGATGGTCGCATTCTCGCGAGGCGTGACCAAAACCAGTTTGTTGGGGTCCGTGGCGACATACTCACGTGGTGGGAGGGATCGGCTAGACTCGTATCCTGAGTTCGATATATCCCTATAGGGATTTCGCATGATGTGGAACACAATTTTTGATACAGCCGACCGTATGTTCGGATCCACATATCTTCTTTTGTTATTTTCATCTGTTAGAATTTCAATTAGATTCATTTAAACGTTAATTTTACAAAACGTTTTAAGTTACATCAGACATGTTTTTTGTACATAGCGCAAAACTCGCAAATTATGATAAAGATTTTTTAAGTAAAGAAGTTCGCAAGCATGTTAAAATAACACTTAATCTACGACGCTACAGCTGGATTTTCAATGTTCAGGTCAACTTACCGAAGTGAGAAATCCCGATCCAGGAGCCTGATCCACTCCCAACAACAGTCTAACAAACGTTATTACATAATCTTTGACAAATGCTTGATAAAGTAATGTATCCAGCATAGAAGCTGAAAATACGGAACCAGCAGCGAATGGCAACCGAAACATGTAAGATATATGAGACCCGCGTTCCTTTTCACGCTGTAAACAAAAGTTTTTATGTTAGGCAACATTTTCCAGTTAAGCCTAAAGAGGCCTTGTTTACATAACTTTAATTCGTGGTATTCATTTCTTTTTATATAAAACAATATTGACCTTTTCCATTTTAGACAGATGCAATGCGTACTTGTCATGTGCCCGAAATTGCATAAATCGCATATTTGAAGATTGAGACAATTCTGTTATTGATTTTATTGATGGAAAAAATCTGCAATTAAAAAATGAAATTTAAAAAATTATACCTATAGTCAATAATTTGCTTATCTTCGATAATATATTCGCAATGCAAGCGATAAATATTAGACATCGCAAAATAGTTCCGAAAAATAATTTCGCTTTTGCAAACATTTTTAATAAATCACATAACATAATTTCTATATAAGTTAAACTTAGTGAAGTGAAATGAATGAAACTTATAAAATAATAGGTAATTAAGTATTTTTTTTTACTTGAACATCGTTTGTACAGCCACTATGGTGTTGCAATCGGCGAGACTATCTTCTTCTGCTGAATTTGATAGTTCCTTGTTGACAACAACAACATTTTCAGCTAAAGTTATTCCGGCTCGCAGAAGATCATCTAAGCTGTAATTGTTAGAGTATCATATGAATATCGGAAAAGTGCAAATTGGACTTGCACACGAAGGTTGCTAGGGGACATGTTGGTGGGGCCACGGGTAATAGCCCGTATTAAAAACAGTCACAAAGTACACCGAGTATTTTTTGCAAGCAGCTCTCCACGTGATGAAGGCGTTTATACATTTGTTATTGGTCATCCGTCCGACATGGACGTGGCTGTGCAGCTGTTGTTATTATTATTCATGTAGTGCAAATAATCATCATTTAAATGTTTACCAAAAAAGTGACGAAAATTTACGGTTGTATCAATTAATTGCCGTATAATTCGATTAATTAGAATGTTTCATCATTATTCCACAAAATCGGAAAAGTGTCCTATAAACATTCCGCAGCCAAATGTGAACTGAGTGATCGACGATCGTGTGGGCACGTACACAATCATATCCAAACTTTCCTTTGATGTTTGTCCGAAAACCCCGATACAGCGGCGATCATTGCCAATCATGGTCAGTTAAATGTGACAAACCATACTTAAGTAACATTAAATTTGAAAATGTGAAACAAGGACTACCTATGTGAGTCGACTTTTAAAAATTACATTATACCATGCTCTACGGCTTTTGCGTACTCTATAAAAAATATCAGTATCTCCAGGGAGACTAGCAGTTCATCCAAGGTCCGCTTGAACTTGACGTATAACAGCCATTTCTGTAATGCTATAGCTGGGAATGATAGCTAAATACCTAAGAGTGGCAATGCTACCCTTAGCATGGCAAATGAAAAAAAAAATGGGTGCGTGTACTTATGTAGGCGCGTGAGAAGTTATCCTTCTTTGGCATCGTTTAAAATTAGTTTTTAATTACATGCAAATAATTAATTACAATAAATTATTAAAAAGTCTGGAAAAGGACACAGTCAATAAAGTTCAGTTTTAATTTGAAAAAATAAATAAATAATCAAAATATTCAATTAAAATCGCTACTGAATATAATTTATTAGAACATAATGTGATTTGCACTTGTATGAAACTCAAACACGTATTCCGAATATACAAACTAGAAACATGTGGATAAATATTATAAATATGAATACCTATAACTGTTACTTTATTACAAAAAATAAAGATGTGGTTTTTGGTTCTACTACACCAATGGTCAAGAGATGGCGCTGTAGTCTCCTGAATCGCGCTTTGGTTCCGTTGTTCCAGATTAATAAATACTTTTTGTTACTTTATTACAAAAAATAAAGATGTGGTTTTTGGTTCTACTACACCAATGGTCAAGAGATGGCGCTGTAGTCTCCTGAATCGCGCTTTGGTTCCGTTGTTCCAGATTAATAAATACTTTTGATAGGCCTTCATAAATAGAGATTCTATTTCTATTTTGTTGGTAGATTTTCTTAATGTGCGGTAAACACAAAAGTAACGCATGAAGTTGGTCGCTAAAGCGACCAACTTCATTATGTTAAAATTTTGTGTTACAGTGATGCGCGCGCATCTTAAAATTTCACTCTCATCATTTTTTCATAACGCGCCTAAAGAAGTATAACTTCAAAAATTGAATTCACATAACTAAAATACATATAAGACCTTGTTTCGCATTCTTCGGTTTAAATGTTACTTTAGGTAAGTTTTAGTCCATTATTAATTTATTTAAAAATTTGCTTTATTTATATTTATTTGAATGTTCATAAGCGACCCCCAGATTTTTTTTTGGGTCGCTTATGAACACCCAGGTCATATATTCGCGGGTGATCAAAGGACACTGAAGAGTCGTCTATATATGATGTCCCAGGAGATCATAGTGGAATAGATGCCTAATAATGGAATTGTATTGTTCAGATAGTATTGACCACTGGACGATTACAACAATAAGATAATCAAACAGTGTACATATATAAAATTTAATGTGTGTATCTTAAATAATTAAGATCATTCTTCGCACTACGATCTTTATGAAGCCGACTGAACTTTTGTACATTAGTAATTTGCAACCTTCGCGAGACACTGAGTGGAGAGTATGACCTCTCAAATATAATCGATTTACTTGCATTATGCTTTCTTTATTTTAAATATTAGGTTTGGGGAAAAGATTCTTTGCATTTCATATGAAAATTCAAATAATTTTTAATAAAGTTTATTTACATTTACCTAAAGCATGGAGGTGCCATTTGGTTAGATAACTTTTTGCCATCTTGTAGGTAGGGACATGATCCCATTGCTATAGAAATTTTGGAGCTTCTGATCAAAAAATCGCGAAAGTGGTTTTGGCAGTCCTCATGATGTTAACCTGACACTGCCTATGAATTTTAAAGAGACCGAAACAGGTGGAAATCTGAAGGTGCAAGGTCAGGAATATACGGCGGATGCATTAACACATAATTTTTGCTGAGTGGCTAAAGATTAAGAAGTCTAGCGTTATCATGATGAGAAACCACACCCCTTCAGTTGATTAATTCCGGCCCCTATCTCTCAACTTGATGCTTTAATCTCATCACTTGTTCGCAGTAGTTCAGAATCGATGGTCCTGCCTGGCGGTAACAGTTCTTAATGAATAATTCCCTTCACATCCCACCATACATACAGCATCACCTTGTTGCGAGTTAACGCGGGTTTCTCCAGAGTCAGTGAAGCCTGACCGGCCTTTGTCCGCGACCTTTTTCGCACATTCTTGTCGTACGTGATAAATTTTTCATCACCAGTTATCAGCTACTTCAAAAATGGTTTGATCATTACGTCGTTATAAAGAATCACAAATGAGTACACGGTTCATTAGGTTTCTTTCAGTGAACTCGTGAGGCAACCAAATATCGAGCTTTTTGTATACCCAGCTTTTTCAAATGCACCAAAACTGCTTATTGGTCAATTCCCAGTTCTTCAGCTACGTCGTAACTATACTAATTTGTCGAACTTGCACCACTTTTTCAAAAATGCCATCCATTTTATCCGTAACTGGGTGAGTGACCAGAGCGACGTGCATCTTTTACATCAAAATTCCCGAATTGAAAACGTCTTAACCAAATTTGTGCTACTCTCACAGACACTGCACTGGGTCCATAAACATCGCAAATTTTTATTCGCGGCTTGCCTTGCATTTTTACTTTTTTTTTGTAAAAATTTAAAATGTATCTAATTTCTTTAAAACACCTATGAATATCAATCACATTTTTCTAATTTCAAGTAGGAATTATCTTCTTTAAAATTTAAAAAAAATATTGATACTAAAACCAGCCAGGTACAAATGGTATAATTATTACATGTTCATACATACTATAATGCGAAAAGACTTTTTCCCCAACCTATTATTAAGATGGATGGAATTGATATAAAGATCACAGTTAAAAACATTATTAACTTAAGTAACGTTTAAAATATTTCGTTTTATACTCACCAGTCTATACTACCTAACATCCAATATACCAAAGGAAAATATGAAATGGAATCCAAAAATGCTATGTCAGGTCTTCGTTCCAACAAAAGAATTATAGGATTGAGCGAAGTCTTGGACCTAAAGTGTGCTCTTAGAGGGATTATAAAATTATAAATGCCGTTGGAGGCATAGTCAGCAGCGAGTATTATGGTTTTGTTCTGCCACTGGTACTCTTTGGCGTTTCTATAAGCGCAGTGTTCACACACCTGTGCCAGTTGTAAACAACACAGAGGCTTCTTCTCTTTTAGTAAGTAGCACAAAGTTGGACTTACTCCAATAAAAGGTGATACAGGTGGAAATCCTTTAACGATCCTGAAAAAAAAAACTTTATACCATCACAATATAAATATAATAATGAGACTCTTACTTTAGCTATCATCTTAACTAAACAACGAGTATTATTTTCATTTAACAGGCGTCAAAGCAAAAGCAGGAAAATATCGGTTAAAAGAAAGAAATCCTCAATAAAGTTGATACTCACAGAAAGCCGTCTCATTGGTTTGGACATTTAACTTATTATTATTCTGATAAATGTACAATATAAGATGAAACTGAACCTTAATTCGCAATTCTAAATCAAAACCAACCTTATTTAGGTGCTCTTTTTTAATCTAACATTTAACATTAAATTATTTAAATCACATGCTCGTGAAAATCTCGGGACATTTGCATACTTGGGTAACATAACTAATAAATTATTATCGACAGTTATCAAATCTCACTTCATCTATATATAGAAGTATTAATATTGAAAAAAAAAACTATGGCATGCTAAAAAGATTAAATTAGTGCAATAGTGGATAAATGATTATTCATACATCTTCAAATGTAGTACATATTGGCTTGAAAAACTTCAGTCTCTGAATTGTAGAATTAATGTGACGCGTAACCTGTCATTTTAGTTGTATGATGAGAATTCATTTTGAAACTCATTTAAGCTTACCTGGTGAAATCGTTTCGCCAGGCGCTGTGCACGACGTCACTGCCTGCTAACGACGAGAAGCTGCTGGTCGTGATGTCATCACTGGAGGCAGGGTGCGGACCGTGCAGTTGGGGTTTACGTTCAGGGGTTTATACAGATACACAATGCATACAATTGCTTAAAGAACTTAAATTATCTTTTTATAAGATAAGAGTGCAATGGGCAAGGAATAAGAACATTTATGTGAAGGTTTGTGCAACATATAAATGACTACATCGAAGAAATAATATTCATGGGGTTTGTATACTTTGATTACCTTTGTTTAAGTAATATAAAACCAATTGCGGTGGATCAACAACTTTCGAAGTACTTTTCCATCAATTTAAAATAATGTAATATAAATATAATAAATAAATAAAAATATTTTGCAATTTTATGATATCACAATGCAAAACCTCACCAAGGGTTGACCTCAGGCTGTTACTAAAATTTCTTTAATAAAAAGTTGTAGGTACTTTTACTACATCAAATGAAGATTTTATTAGAAAATGGCATCGTGAAACGTAAGGCCAACCTTATTTATCTTGACCTGCTGTAACTACTAGTCAAAATTTTACTAGAATCACAACAGTATCACATCAATCATAATCAATCATCAAAAAAATAATAATATGTATATTTCATTAAGTTATAGGAATCATCTAATCAAGGATTAATACTAATTTTCTTATCATGTCTTGAAGTTATTATTTATTATTTAACCGATGAAAATGAATGCTACAAAAATGTTGATCAATTTTTCAGAGGTACAATAAATAGGCAAGTTGACTCATGTCAAGTTCTAACGTATAAATGTTTATTTCTTATAATTTTTGGTTTAAGGAAAGCTAAATACATCGATTCCACTTCATAAAATTATAAAATTAGAAGATGGCTGTAATAATTTATACTTAAACACTAAAAACGCTGTCCACCATTATTGTGACGTCATAAACTTTGTAAACAACTAAACGTCATTGTCGTGTTACTGTGGTTTCTTTCGTCTGACTAAAATATATCTAAAAACTGTTATATCTTGTAGAATCTTGTTTTGTTGTCTCTTTTAACGCTGGACACCGGATTTGTGAAAGCAGAAACCATTTAGTATGTACATTAGTAAACTTCACGCTTGTATTTTTAAACTTTAAATATTATTCAATGAGTATTTACATCGAAGTGATCTTTGCCAAACAATGACTTTCAGTCGATAAAATTACAGAGTTTAGCAAGTTTTAAACATGTGTTCATGTGTAGGCATGTTTATTTCTCCAGGCAACTTTTCTGGAGTCTTTAAGGATGTGTTTCTACATTCTACAATGCAATCATGATAATTACTATATTTTTCGTGTAATCTATTAGAAATCATGGTTTTGTAATACAAACTCAGATAGTTTATTTCCTACGTACTTGCGAGTGTTTGTTTACAAATGTTTTGACGTCAAAGCGTAGATAAATCTATAGACTAAAATAGGAGACAGTGTTTTTGTCTGCCCATGAAAAATCAAATTTAAAATTAAATTTTTGTAGCTTTGTAGGCCAGAAAAAATACAATTCTTTTTTCGGTCTAATAGAACAATTATATTAACCATTTAAAACCTATTTATATAAAGTGTCAACTAGCCTATTTTTCATAATCATAGCGAAAGGTAACCAAATATTTTTTATGCAAGACATCAAAGGGATAGTGGAGACACTTAAAGCGATATCATGATATAGCAAAGACACATTATTTACAGACGTAAATTTTGAAAAATAAAACAAAAGTGTTTAACGCTAAACTTATTTGTGTTGACGTGGTTGGTGGTGGTTCATTGATTCCTTCATAGAATTAATCATAAAATTTTTTCGTCATTATGACTTTGTTACACAATGTCTAATAGAGTATAAATATACCTATATATACTGGGTTTGATGAATAATAAGCAATGATAAGCTTTAGCAGACGGAACGATTAGCAAAGCCAAACACTTACATGTAACATTGATGATTTGTGCAGTTTTCATGCAGCTGGCGTGATCCTGGTCTGCTGTCTATAGGAGTGAATACACTGTCTAAAATGAAAAATAAGAAGAAAAAATCGCTAAAGAATGTCACAAGGCAGACAACCCTTCAACGAGCCAAATTAAAGTTGCCAAGTTATTGCAAAAAGAGGTGTTGGTAAAAAAATGTTTATCATGATGTTTACAAAGAATCAGAAGTTGTGTTCTATGCTTATTAGTACACAGTTGGAAAGAAACGCTCTACTTTAAAGAAAAATATAAAGTTATAACCCCAGGGGAGTATTTTTTAATCTATGAGATGTAATAAAATTTAATTGATGTTTGAATGAAATGCCGTGCGTATGGGATGCAAATAAAGCTTAGGCCGATGGTGTCTTTTCTTACGCAATTTTCTCAGATGGTGATCGCCATGGAACGTCGTCTTCTAATTCGTCTTCGCTTTCATCAACATCATGTTCATCATCTTGATTATCAGAAGCTATATTTAAGCTACTTGTTACCATATCAGGAACTGGCAAGATAGACGGCCTCCTGCTACCTAAAATATATTTTGTGTATAACTTATCTCTTTTAATATTGAAATTCTTTGGATACTTTTAAGAATCTTCAGTACCTCTCCTGTAGTTCAAAGCATCTGGGCTTAAGAAATTCGTATTATCTGGTTTAGGTAATAATAAATGACTGTCTGTAGCGCTATCAGTACCAGGTGAGTCTTTCAAGCAAGTCCTGGAATCTGACGACATACCCTCACCGTGCTTAGCTGTGCAAATTAAAAATATTTGAGTTGTGTGAACAAAAAGTAAAATAAAATAGAGTAATACATGTTTACTTCATGACCAGCGATTTTTTTTATTCTGTATCAATCGAAAAATTTACTGAATTGCATTTTATGTTTAATGTTATGTCGTGAAAAATGTGAACGAATAAAAATGAATTTTGAATCTGCCTATCTACTACGGATTTGCATAACACTTAAAAACCAATAAAAACCACATACTAGTAAAATAAGTTACTTAACGAAACAAAAATACAATAACAACATCTATATATTCATTTCAAACACACCAGACACAAATACCCTTTTTGCAAACTGCTTATTACTTATTTTCCATAATTTTTGTATCCAGTGAGTTTTTATTACGTAGCCATTTTGCTCCTATATACGCCGTGAATTTTGAGTTACCTGAGACACTTATAAATCGTGTAAATTAAAACAGTACGCACAGTTATAAACAATAAGCGTACTACACTCCAATACAAAAATATTTATTATTGCCGTTTACAAGATATCCTAAAATGGCACAAATTTGTAAATAATAATAATAATCTTAATTTTTTCTGAACCATGACAATATAATATAACAATTTAGCGTTAACAACCGTAGTAATCTAAGACTGTGTTACTGTTATTATCACCCACCTCAAAAGACAGGCACATTACAGGCATGATTAGAAACAAACAAAGGTATTTATAATACATTACACTGCGTGTGTGTGTATGAGTGAGTGTGTGTGTGTATGTATGTGGTGTATGTGTTGTATGTGTGATAGAGGTATGTGTGTGCATGTGCGTGGTGTACTTGATCAATGCCTCCACAGTGTCATATTCCAAGTCAAGTAACCACACGCTCTATTTGATTTTACATTCATGTTTCGAAAGAGGGTAAATATAAAACTTTTTATTTACTTTGTTATAGAGAAGGGGAGAAATGAAGTCATAATGATGTTTCAGTAGAGCTATTTGAGAATTTCGAATTTTACATACATTGTCTTTCCCTGCTTTTATTTACTAGGGTGCAAGGGTCATATGGGAGTAGTAGCATATGCTTGCTTAACATAACTTGTTGGACGAATAATTTGTGGACAGAAAGTACCTGCCAGAAAGCATACACTAACTGGGTGGAGTACCTACTAGGTTTAAATGCCATAACTAGATGGTCCTTTGTGCTCTTTCAAGTTCTAACATCTTTGACTTTCAAGAGTCACCCCAAACCGTTATACAGTACGATATTATTGACTTGTGCCAAAGAAAAGTATGCAGTTCTGGGGATATGTCTCAACGAGAGGTCTCAGTCTGCTGAAAACAAAAATTAACTTTGGGGTTCGTGAAGTGATAGATCGGATATGTTCGGTCCAAGATAACTAATGCTATTTGTACGTTTTATTGATACACAAGTGCATGAGTTACTGGTTATCAAATTACAATTGTGTGCTATTTAACAACAGTCCGAATCGGGTTGTGAGGAGAGTCTGGGAGCAAACGTAATAAAGGACATGGCTAAGAAACTGCCCTTAACGTGTATAAATATTTCGCACTAGCCAGTAACTTTACAATATTTTTTTATTAATTATTACGTGTTTATTATTCTCATACAAAAATAAAGAAAAACTCCTTCAAACTATGACATACTTGGCACTAATTTTTATCAAAACAAAGCAGTGAAGGCCTAAAATAATAGATTTTATTATTCTGATCAGGTTTGAGACAAGGCTGTATGATAATTAATCTTTTAATTTTGACCAGTAATGGGTAGCACACCAATAATCAAATATTTAGGCGTGATTCTGGATGAAAGACTATCATTTATTCCACATATTGAAGTACTTACTAAAAGAATCCGCAAACTTATCTTTATCTTTAGGCATTTAAGACATGTTGCTGATCCAAAGATCTTGAAGACCGTATACAATAGTATTAGGACTGGCATAGGGAATACCCTATGCCAGTCCTTACTAGGATATTGCATATTGTCCTGGGGTGGTGCACGTAAAACCCACCTATTAAGACTTGAACGGGCACAAAGAGCCGTATTAAAAGTGTGTACCTTTAAGCCTTACCGCTTTCCTACGAAGGATCTTTATGAGTATTGTGAAGTTCTGACAGTACGAAAATTGTTTATCTTGCTAATCATTCTTAAGCGGCGCTGTGATGTAAATCTAAACAGCCTTGTTAAAAGCAACAAATCTAGACGAAAAGTTAAAATTCCACTTACTAAAACATTCAGAACTTCTTTTGGTCGTAAATATTATTACTTTTTAGGATGCAATAAGATGATATAATAAAATTAATAGTAAATTGAACATACTACACAAAAGTAAACATGCGTGTAAAAAAATGGTTACAGATTGGCTCTTAAAATTAAATTATGAAGAAACAGAGGCACTTCTTAAACCAGTCGGTTTAACCAAACACACACACACACAAACACACACACACACACAACACACACATACATATATGTATATATATTGCCTAAACTAATGATTGTCAAAGTTTTTGAGTTAAAATTCAATGATGTGAATTTGGAAAGAGGCTGGTACTTATAGCACAGAGTATTCTTTTTTAAGTACCAGCAGCTATAATATTATGTCAAAATTGTGTCATATCTATGTGATAATAAGCTATGTAATCATTACCTTTGTGGAAAAATAAACTATTATTATTAATTTTACATTTCCTGTCAGGCCGACGATAACAAATTATTTATATTTGCTTTAAAAAAAAATGGGTGCGTGTACTTATGTAGGCGCGTGAGAAGTTATCCTTCTTTGGCATCATTTAAAATTAGTTTTTAATTGCATGCAAATAATTAGTAGTAGTAGTATCAGTTTGTCAGAGAAAAACTTTTACTTGAAGATGATCTCTCATTAGAAAAGGCAAGTTCTATATCGAAAACTCTTGTGCAATCACTGACACAGGCATCTGAATTAAAGGGCAGCACTAATGTTTATTATACTAACAAGCAAAGTCATCAAAGTCATGGTCATGGCTCAAATATGTCAAAGTCAAGGTCAAAGTCGCAGTCAAGAAATGGTTGTGGACGCTGTGGGCAGATTCACCGCTATAAATGTCCAGCTGCTAATAGGCTTGTTGAAAATATATCGATGTGTCGATATATCGATATATCGATACATCGATACAAAATAACCAATATCGAAATTCGTATCAAAAACGATATTTTTTTAATTATTAGCGGCATATCACGATCTAACTAAATTCGTATCTGGAAAAATCGTAACTGGATCACAGATTAATGATATTCAACATATCTATGATCTATGTTGTATTAGGTATTGTCTATTATTTGTAAATCTGTTTCGCTGGTCAATTGGTTGTGCTGATTTCCATTATATTCTGTGGAAGTGTGTGACTGTCTAGTCTTGTTTACGAAAGATGGCACCTGAAAGGCCCTGCAATCATTTTCATCATTCGAAAATAGGGTCTATTTTTTGGGAGATAATTTTCGTTCCATTATTATTCCGCGTGTCATATTTCGTGAGATACTGTACTGTCATGTAGTGTAGCGGCAATTTAGTACTTTGATAATTCTTTCTTTAATTATAATTTGTATTGAACTATTATTACTGTGCTAGGCTGACCTAATTATATTTTTGGGAAAATTGGTCCGATATATCGATATATCGATGTTTTTTTCGCGATATATCGAAGCCGATATTGATATTTTTTAAAATATCGATGTATCGATATATCGATATTTTTTTCAACTTACGACATCCCTAGCTGCTAATGCCAAATGTCGAAAGTGTGGTAAAATTGGTCACTATGAAGCATTGTGTAAGTCAAAAAATATCCATTTCGTGCAGTGCAATGATGAATCACAGTATGAAGGTAATGATGAACATTTATTTATTGGACATTTAAAATCAAGTAATTCAACTAGTACAGATTGGAATATTCATTTAATAATTAATAATGCTCATGTCAAATGTATCCTAGATACTGGTAGTGATGCTAATGTCATGTCATATAAGTTATACAAGTCATTAAATGTATCTATCAAAATGTCACCTTTCCTAGCTAAAATAACGTCTTACAGTGGTAATAATGTAAAAATATTAGGTCAACAAAACTTAAAATGTACTTATTATGTTCATAATAAGCCAATGTCTAAAATGATAAACTTTATAATTGCTGATGTCTCGTCACCAACAGTTGTTGGAAAACACATGTACAGAATAAGGTCTTGTAAAAAGAGTCTTTAATATTCAAAAAATGTCAGAGTCAAATGATAACAGTCAAATGTCTATGTCAGTCAATAATATTACCTTAAGTTCTTTATTGAGTAAATTTTATATAAAACTCAATATTTTGGGACTAACTAAATACTCTTGCAAAGTTACTATCTCTAGTTATCTAAAATCATTATACTACGATCAAACCGAAAACCTCTTGCTTCGTTTGGGATGATAATTGGCGTAAAGTAAAAACTTGGCTTTTCCTGATTATTATAGTTACTTTGCTAATTTGTATGTGTCCGAGTGTGTATGTGTTTTGGATGTATGTATCTATATCCATGTATAAAGTTGTTAATAATTTGTATGTGTCTGAGTGTGTGTGTGTTTATCTATGTATATGTATGTATCTATATCCATGCCCACCTTAAAATGCTGTGTCAGAACCATAATTGTGTACCCTATACTATGGTATAATAATTCACCTTTTTAATTTTTTTTTGTATTTTTCGTATACAATAAGTAGATTTTTTGCTGTATGTTAACGTCCTAAGCTGTGTATAGACATATTTCTAATAGATTGCTGTAACCTAACCCATCCCAAGGAGGGGGGACCGGTACTCTGAAATACAAGCTCGGCTTAGTTCAGACACCGACCTCTCATGACATCAGGTATGCAATGGTATTAATACTAAGATTGTTAAATGTCTGTCCATCCATATGCCTATAAAAATGTGATTAGTTATATAAAAATGGATGCGTGTAACTTATGTATGCGCGTGAGAAGTTATACCTACTTCTTTAGCATCATTAAAAATGTTTTTTAATTGCATGCAAATAATTAATAATTACAATAAAATAATAAAAGGAGTGGAAAAGGATAGTTAACACAGTCAATTAAGTTCAGTTTTAATTTGAAAAATTAAATAAATATTCAAAATATTCAATTAAAATTACTACTGAATTAAAGTTATTAGTCCATATGTAATTAGCACTTGTAAGTAACTAAAACACGTTGTGTCTATATAGAAACTAGAAACATGTGGATAAATATTATAAATATGAAAACAGTGATCTCTTAAAAAAAATTTTTTTTTTTGCAAACTTGTATTTCAATAAACAGCTTTCTAGTTGCGTCAGTTCGATATTTACATTAAACCTTTGATTAGTTTCGTCTTTGGTAGCCATGTATCGGAACAAAAGGTCGTTCCATTTTTAAATTACACGACAGATACTGACAGATATGAGTTTTCATACAACTTTTGCCGATCGCTGCTCGTATGTATGTGACCAGTACAGCATTTTTCGATTTATCTCGAAGAAGGTTGACAATGCGCAAATTACCAAGCATGTTTAAGAAAAGAAAAAAAAAGTTTGTTTTTTGTGGAAATATAACCCAAATCGTTGTCTAATTTAGCTAGTGAATTTTCTCAGTAAGTAACTCAAAATTCACGGTGTATAACATACATATAAATGTAAAAAACTGCCCTTAACAGTGCATTAATATGAAATGATCTATTCCAGTAAAATTTTGTAATTTGGGATAGGAATATCTTGCCATGGTAAAGAAAAGGAGGTGAAGGTGGTTAGCGCATTCGATTCGGTTTGCGATCGTGGAAGTAAAGCAACTTTTGCAACGGCTGATCATGGGGAGGGGGGGCGACCTAAACTTATTCACTTCAGTTCCTCCGTGCTTCGGAATACACTTAAAATCGTAGACCGCAAGGGGGGGGGGGGGGGAGGACTGTGCCCCAGCAGTGGGGATAATAATATTAAACATTCATATCAAACGAAAAGAACCCCTGTTTAAGATTGTAGTGTTCGCTTCTAAACTAAAAACTATTTTTACACGTTTTAAAGCTCTTGCAAAGTTTATGTTTTAGTTTAAAAAGTTATAAATAATACATAGAATAAAATATTAATGACGTATAAAATTGTCTCTTTAAATATCGATATTTTTATTATTTTCAAATCGATGTTATCGATATCCATGAATTTAACATATCGTAACATATCATAGAGGTATTATGTAATGATAATTTTGATTAAATTCTAAAATTTCTATGCCGCTATTTCGACTTGTTAAAAGGAGAATATACTATAGAGGTGTTATTTTTTTTTTCATTTTTATAAATGTTTTCATTAATGTTTTCATAATTAATGTCTTTTATTATATTTTACTGCTAATAAACTTTTTAGTTCCTCCCCGGATAAGAGGATGAAAATAGGAGTTTATTATTGTAACGGTGTGGCATAGCAACAACCATTCTCCTTTTTTATTTCCTTCACATGAAACCTTTTTGGCCATCACTAATTATAAAGTTAGGTCAAGCGAATGAGAAATTTTTGAAGAATTCATTTCCAGCAATCTTTTAAATACCTTCTGGTCTTAATTGCATGTAATAAGCAATTCAATATTATGTTTTTATTTATTTTTAAGCATTTAACTGCTAGATGTTTAAATGTAAAGAAAAGTTTACTAGAAAAAAACGGGACTCGAACCCTCACCCTTCGCAATCCGGGGGAATGCACTGACCATAATGCTACCACGGCCCTATTGAGTAAGTATTACTTTTTTGAGCAAAATTACTGCGAAAGTTTTGCTGTATTTCAGTTTTTTCTTGAAGCCCTTTTTGAGCTACGTACGCCCAATGGAAAATGTTATAGTATTACTTATTACAGAGAATTCAATTCTGCTTCGAATTAGTATTCGTTCAGCGGTACAGCCGAAACCAAAACTTCAAAATGGAGTAAACTCATTTAATTACAAACTTATGTTTTATGACTTAATTGTTTGACTGCCTCGATTGGGTTGATACATGATATCATAGATACAAAATTGAATTAAGGTCATCCTGCTTGGTTTTTTGAAAATGCTCTAGTTTCCGTGACTTCCAGTACCTTCTTCAATCTTTCAATTCTTGCCTTTGATTAGGCTGGAGAGTGGTACTTGAAGGACAGATGTTTAAAACTGGTGTTAGTAATATGAACAAGACAACCCAATAATTGATAATACCTCCAGCAGATTTCTTGATCCATACTTCCTGTGAAGTTTACAATTGACTCGACAAGGACTATTAGGGTTTTTGGAATATCATTCTCAACATCCTTCAGAAATATGTCATCTACTCTCTCTAATAAATTTTCCTGCATTTTTCGTGAACCTTAACTGAAGTAAAACCGATTCTGAATTGTTATATGCTGCAGTTTTTCAAAATTACTGATTTTTATATTTGAGGTGTCAACATAACGTAAAATTTTATGGTTTTTAACTTTCTTCGATCAATTAATTTAATCTATTACAAAGTAATGTGGTATGGAGCAATGGGTATGAAAAGTAGCAAACTGATGTTTGCAATTAAATGAAAAAAAAAAACGGTTTGTAGCTTTTGATTTTGGCTGTATCACTGAACCAAATTTGAAGGTTTAGATACTTATTCGACGAAGAATTTAATGCTCTTTAATATTAAAAAAAATGGATTATCTGTCGGACGTACCGTTTTAGAGTTACAATTAAAAAACTTGACAAGGAGCAAAACTATTGCGATTATTTGGCTCACAAAGAATATGCTCTACTGCTGAGTTTGCGAAAACTCGGATTAAAAGTATTTAGAACCAAATCAGTAGTAAAACGATTTACAGCTTGGATGAAATTTATTTCTCAAAACAGTTTTTTATGGATCTTATTTGCTTGGCCTAAATGTTCGTTTGTGGTTTTTATGTAATTTTAATTTCAACTCCGTCAGTCTTACACAAATATTTTTATTTTTAACCACCAAAAATCCTGTAGCTTTAACTATTTTTCTAAAGTTTGTCATTGTTAAGATTGAAATAGTGTTGAAATATACAGTTTAAAATGTCTACTTACTAAAACATTTAAAAAATCCAGTAGGAGTAAATTCTTCTGTATTTTACCGTAGTTTTAGTTTATCTACTAGACTACTTACGTATTTTAAGTTTTAAATCTTATTTAATAGTTTTCTTTTTATTTGTTGTTATTATTATTTGTACCGCTTTCTACTGATCGCGTTATTATTTTAATAGCTATATATACTGTGTATATTTTTTCGAAAAATACTACCTAAGGGTATGTTTACCAACATATATCATTTCATAAGTTTGCACATACACTTAATTTTACCATGATTTGTCAAAAAATCTAGAGCAAAATGACTGAAACATGTTTACAACACTGTTGGTAATAAATATAGTAGAAGTTTTATTTATTTTGAACTCTAAATGTATTTTGAATTTATTATATTATGAAACATGCATAAATAAATAATACCAATTGTTAGTGTTGACTTGTGATATTTATAATAGGTTTGTTTTGTAACCAACATTAAGCGCACTCACCGCATTAATGCTCTGTGGTTGCTGCCATCTGTATTACATATCATTTAAATACGTTACTATTAACTTAATGTTTTCTGTAGTGGGGCCATACCGAAGGGAGTATTTGTATTAGAAATCGATAATTAGACAGAGAAGTAAGATCTACCTTCGTTACGGTCTGAATAATATTTTTTCGTAGTGAGTGCAAGGCTTCGTTTTAATAATCGGAAACATATTTTTTTAATCACCACAAACACTTGATGATTTGTTAATGGTCAATAAAAATAGGTTTACGAAATCATGAAAGACTTAAGCAAATAAATACAACAAAAAGTAGACCGAAAGCATATTCGTACTTGAAAAAATATGACTTCGATCTGCTTCAGGCATTAAACCAACTGTGACACTCACAGCTAGCGACAGTTAAATTAGCGGATGATACAGTATTAGCTTGGTTGATGCGTGATGGCGATGCGTTTGGTGTGGAACTCGCGGGAGCTTGGAGAATCACTTGTGGAAGTTCGTATTG